TATCCCAAAACTGTAGGACTCCACTGGCAAACGATGCCAGACCTCAAGTCTTAGACCTGACATGTATGTGAAACTTCTGTTCTCTCCTCCTGAAAATCCAGATCATCAAGCATCTGGAGCAGAAAGAGAGAGAGAGGAAGAGAGAGAGAGAGAAAGAGCAATGTCTAGGGTTGGGTTCTAGAGGCAGGTCCATATGCCCTGCCCAGGTATGGGGGAAGAAAGGACAAAGGCATACAGGAAGAGAACTAGATAACGGAAGGCCATGAGAGCAGGTCCTTATCAGTTTGTGGAAAGTAAAAATAAGCATATCTGACAGAATCCCAAGTGTGCAACTGCCTGCTGCAAAACAAACATACCCATTTGTAGAGCTTGGACCCCAAACGTCAGGAATTCCTGACCTGGGATAGAGTGCAGACGGAGGTGTGGGGTGAAAATCTTTGCTCCAGGACCTGAGGCTGACCCACAAGTTATCCAAATCCAGTAGACCTGGCTGAGACTTCGCACACCCTCCCCTAATGCACACATATTATCCAGAATAAATATATATTTCTCTACATATCTATAAACTCTTCATGTGGAATTCAATATTAAGACCCAGAAAAATATCAAATAACCACTCTCTTTACAGCCAAGAGAATTTTTATCAATAACATCCTATTCAGGTTTCTGGAGTAAACTGTTTGCCTAAGGTGGGATATAAAACCTTCTGATGTGAATCATGATCACGTAAAGGTACATATTTCTGTCCTGGCCATGTTATTGGAGTTCATATGATCTTCATTGGGCCATGAAAATATCAACATCTGGAAGTCAGCAAGTTATCTGAAAAAGCAAAATGATAGCTTGTTGCCAAAGATGGTACCCCGAGAATCAAACATCCCGATATTTTTTCCCTCGTATAGTCCCCTCCCCTTGAGTCCATGCTGGGCCTGTGACTGGGTTTTAACCAATAGAATAAGACAGAAGAGACACTTGGGATTTCTGAGGTCAGATCATAAGAAGCATTGAAAGTTTCACCTGAGTCTCTTGGAACATTCTCCCTGGGTAAGGTCAGTCACTATCTAAGAGGTCTGATTGCCCAAGAGACTGCCATGCTGTGAGGAAGCCCAAGCTAGCCATACGGAGAGGCATCTTTGAGAGAGAGGCACCCAACCAGCCACAAGCTATTCCAGACATCTGAACTCAGGTGCTAGGCACGAGAGAGTGAGAAGCCTTAAGACAGCATCACCCTCAAGTGTCATCTGTCTGCAGCCTCGTGACAGAGTCCAAGTGAGAACTACTCAGCTGAACCCAGTGTACCCCGAGAACCGTGGGATTGTTTTTTAAGCCAGGGGTCACAATTTACCTCTTTTTATTTTGTGTATCCATTAACAAATGATTGTAGCTGGAGCTATTTTTAATACTTTTGTCCTTTAACGTTTATACTAGAGTTAAGTAATAACACACCACCATAGCACAGTTTTAGAATGTTTTGAATCTGACTGTATGCTTACCTTTACCAATGTGTTGTATATTTTCATGTTACTAATTAGCATCCTTTTGTTTCAGCTGGAAGAACTCCTTTCAGCCTTTCTTGTAGGTAGGCTTAGGGGTGAGAAACTCCCTCAGCTTTGGTTTGTCGGGGAAAGTCTTTAACTCTCCTTCACTTCTGAAGGATAATTTTGCAGGATAGAGTATTTTCGGTGGGCAGTTTTTTTCTTTCAGCACTTTGAATAGATCAAACCCTTCTCTCTTGGACTGTACCGTTTCTGCTGAGAAATCCACTGGTAGCCTCACTGGGGTTCCCTTGTAACTTACCAGCTTCTCTTCTCTTGCTGCTTTTAAGATTCTCTCTTTGTGATTTTTGATAGTTTTATCATAACGTGTCTTGGAAACGATCTCTTTAAGTTGGGATTTTGGGGGGCCTATGAGCCTCATGAACTTACGTATTCAAATCTCTCCCAGATTTGGGAAGTTCTCAGCCATTATTTCCTTAAATAAGTTTTCTGCCCCCTTCTCTCTCTTTTCTCCTTCTGGGACTCCAATAATGTGTAGATTGTTTATTTTTGTGATGACTGATAGATCCTGTAGGCTTTCTTTACTCCTTTTCATTCTTTTTGCTTTTTTCCGCCTCTTACTGGTTAATTTCAAAGTTCCTGTCTTCTAACTCATGGATTGTTTCTTCTGCTGGATCCATTATGATATTGATATTCTCTATTGAATTTTTTCATTTCGGTCACTGTATTCTTCAGCTGTAGGATTTCTGTTTGGTTCTTTTTTATGATTTCTATCTTTGTTAAACTTCTCATTTTGTTCATGCATTGTTTTTCCTGATTTTGTTGAATTTTCTTTCTGTTTTCTTGTAGTTCACTGAGTTTCCTTAAAGCAGCTATTTTGAATTCCTTATCAATAAATCACAGATCTCCACATCTTTGGATGTCACCCAGTGATAACCATAGTACAGGGCAGAGTGTAAACTCAGGTGTGACCTGGGAATAACTGTAGTCCAGTTCATAACATAGAGTCTGGAGTCTAAGGGGCTGGATGTCTTACCCAACCACTTAATAGCTGTATCATTCCAATAAAGTTAACAATTTTAACCAATTTCTTAGTGTTCCATGGAGTGTGGAGTAGGAGAATAATTTGTAACTTCTTCATATAATCAGTTTTATGATTAAAGTTTGATTAAAGTATGACTTATGAATGTGTAAAGTGATCAGAATATTATTGACATGTGCTAGCTCTCAATAATTATTGGCCTTTCACAGTATCATTATGATTACTATCAGTATCTACAGGTATTTGGCAGGAATACAGGAATGAAATTAGAAAAAATGAAAAAAAATAATGAAATAAGTAACTACTTGGTAAAATATGTAACTATTTGATCTTTATTCTCTCTGCTAAAACACATATCCACTTCCATCTCTTTGCCTGGTTAAGTTCTACTGAATTTTGAGATAACAGGTTAAATATCACCTCCTTTCATAAGTTCACCTGCCCCCTAAACTTTAGTGGGGTGCCCCTCCCACGTATTTTCATAGGTCCCTTCTCTTTTCATCTTCATAGCACTTATCGCATTGTTAAACACGGTCTGGTTTCTTGTCTTTCTCCCTCAAAAGCACAAGAAGGTCAACAACTGAGTCAGATTTAAAACTGTGGGTTATCAGCACATTATTTGACACACAAGTGCTCAATTCAATCTATTGATCCAGCCCAAGAATGAATAGGAAAGAGATGATGATTCTTCTCTTGATTATCAAATATTCTAATTTAAACTTTGTTGCCCTCAAATTTGGGTTTTATATCATTCATTAGATGGTCTTAATTTTAGCTTATGATGCCCATGGGAAATGGCAGAAAACTAGATGTCTCTTTAAGTTCTCGTAGAGTCAATATTCCATACATTTTGTGGGCACTCTCCCTTTTGCTTGTTGCATGAACACGTGAAGCTGTGGCCTTAGGGTCCTTCACTGGGAAATAGAAGGGCGGGGCCAATGAAATAACAATTGCTGTTCTGCATCTTCCGTGTGGTGGATATGCGAATTCTCTTAGCCCAGTCCCTGAAACCTGAGCATTTAATAAATTCTCGGTATGTTAATGATTAAATGGCAACTGAGAAATGGATCCTGTAGTCTAGTTATAATTTAATATAAATTCAGCCCCACGTGTCTGTGAGTCTAAAGCAAGTTCTTGACCTTTGGCTCAAAAAGAGAGATAGCAGTTCCTGGTTTCTCAATTTCCTTTCAGCTTATTACTATCACTGTATCTATTTATTTAGTTTTACATTTATTTTGAATTATCATCAAACAGAGAAATCTGGCAAAAGTGCACAAAGAATTCTTATATGCAATCGACACAGATTCACCAAAGGTAAAATTTTGTAACATTTACTAGATCATTTTCTTTCCTTCTCTCTCGTATATAATATTAATTTTCTCAATCGTTTGAGAGTAAGTTGCAAATATCATTCCCCTTCATCCCTCAAAAATTCTATGTATATTTTCTAATAACAAGGACATTTACTGTATAAACGCAGTAAAATTATAGAAATCAGGGAATTTAGCATTGATGCAATATTATTATCTAATCCACATTACAAATTAAATGTAGCCAATTGTCCCAACAATGACAGCATTTTTTGTGGTCAAGGATCCACTCTGAGATTTAGTTCACACGTTCCTTCAACCTGGAACATAGCCTCAGTTTTCTTTGTTTCCATGACAATTTGACAATTTGAATAGTACCAGCCAATTATTTTGTAGAATATCCCTCAACTGGATTTTATACAATGTGTGCTCATGAACGCTTTCAGGCCTAAAGTTCATGTTTTAGATATGTTCCACATAGAAAGGGGGGAGAGTAAGTTAACAGCAGAGAGACCTGACAAATGTTACCTCATCCAGGTGATCAAGATCAACATCAACAATGATAGTCAAGTGGATAGGAAGTACTCTCGAAACGTGTGATGAGAATGGTATGTTACCTCCATGATCTCCCACCCCAAAACCATAAGCTCTGTCTAACCATGAGAAAAACAAGTGGCAAACCCCAATAGAGCGACTTCTCCAAAACACCTGACCGGTGCCCCTCAAAACTGTCACGATCATCAAAAACAAAGAAAGTCTGAGAAAATGTCACAGCCAAGAGGACCCTAAGGAGACATGACAACTCAACGTGATGTGGTGTCCTGGATGGGATCCCAGAACAGAGAAAGGATGTTAGGGAAAAACTAAGGAAATGTGAAGAAAGAATGGGCTCTGGGAACTCTCTACACAATCTTCACAATTTTTGTATATCTAAAACTGTCCAAAAATAAAGCTGATTAAAAATAATTTTTAAAATTTGCCCACATTTCCACATCCTTGGGCTTGTTATTGAATTCCTGATTCCCTCTCATGAGTTCAACTCAGATGATCCCAAAATGTTCTCTGAATGATTCACGGTTGCCCAATATCATCAACCTTGGAACCCTCTATCAAGATCCACTTGTCTTTATCAGAAGGCAAACTCCTCAATGAACCAAGATAGATTAATAATTGTTTTATCTTTAGTATTATAGCTGGTCTCCCAGCGGCTGCCACAACCTCCAGCAGTGGCTACAGCGGAAACTCTAACACCAGGAACAGAGAGCTCATCATGATGTCAGACAGGTTTGTGTGGTTCGAAGGGATACCTTTCCCTACCGTGGGTTACAAACCTGAACTCATGAGCGAAGCGCGGGACAGTTTTGTGTTTAAGGATGAAGATGTCTTAATACTGACTTTCCCAAAATCAGGTAAGGAAGCTGGATCAGATGCTGAGACTGGCTGTGGCCATGTCCTCAGTTACTCTGTAAACGAATGGAGTGTTTTCTATATGCCAGACAATGCGTAGTGCTGTGCGGGAATAGAGCTGTGATACCAGTTATACTCAGAGAAAAGGCCTTAGGCAGTTGCACAGTAAGATGAGTGTCCAGAGGGTGTAATCTGAGTTAATACGGAGAACCTACGGGGATAAATCCTTAGGCAGAGTCAGATGTTTGTATGGAGGCGTGGAGGAGGATGGCCAGTGAGGTCTTTATAGAAGAAATAGAAAAAAAGTTAATTATGTGAAATTAGGGATATGTTAATCAGCTTGATAATGGTCATCATTTCACAGTGTATACATATATCACTTCATTGCATCGTACACCTTAAATTGATACAATTTTTCTTTGTCTGTTATACCTCAGTTAAACTAGGGAGGGATGAATAAACACAACTGCCACAGCCCAAAAAGTAAAGTAGAAGAAATAGTATCTAATTGAGATGAAAAAATGAATGTGAAACGATTTACTGAAGAGGGATATTTTCAGGTAAAAGTCTCAGCATGGACAATGGTCAGGAATTGGAAAAGAGAAAATTCAAGGGACTGAAAGGATGTGGATCATATTTCTATTAGGGGAGGGGCCTGGAGGGACTGCAAATTGGGCAAGGACTGAGTCTGAAGACATGGGAAGTGGCAAGGTGGGAGAAAGCCAAGGGCGGTGGGAACATGTTAAAAGGATTTAAACAAATAGCCGAAGGGTGGAAGCAACCCAAATGCCCATTGACAGATGATAGAATAGACAAAATGTAGTACATACACATAATGGAGTATTATTCAGCCTTAAAAAGGAGTGAAGTTCTAACACACAACACACTGTGGGTGAACTGTGAGGACACTGTGCTGAGCTAAATAAGCCAGTCACAAAAGGACAAATATGGCCTGATTCCCCTTAGATGAGGTACCCAGAGTAATCAAACTCATTAAAACAGGAAGTAGAATGGTGGTTGCCCAGGGTTGTCAGGTATGGGAGGGAGGGGAAAATGAGAGTTGTTGTTTAAGGGGTACAGACTATTAGTCTGCAAGATGGTTGTACAACAATGCGAATACACTTAACACTGCTGAACTGTGCACTTGAAAATGCTTAAGATGGTATATTTATGCTATGCATGTTTCATCACATTTTTTTTTTAAAAAAGTCGTGTTAAAATGAGTGACCGTAATTTTCTTTCTTTATTCAGGAACAAACTGGTTGATTGAAATTGTCTGCCTGATTTACTCCAAGGGGGATCCCAAGTGGATCCAATCTGTGCCCATTTGGGACCGCTCACCCTGGGTAGAAGCTGAGCATGGGTATAATTCACTAAAGGATAAGGAAGGCCCCCGCCTCATCACCTCCCACCTCCCCATCCAGCTCATCCCCAAGTCTCTCTTCAATTCCAAGGCCAAGGTCAGTGCTCAATGGTCAAGATAAGTTTGATGAACTCTTTCCAAAGTCTAATGTGCCTGGGAATCCCCTGGAGATCTGGTTGACATGCAGCCTCATCCAGTAGGTCTAGGATGGGCCTCAGATTCTGCATTTGGTGATGACAGTGTCCATACTTGAGTACGAGGGTGTAGATCCCTCTACAGCTTACACCACGCAGGTGTAAACCAGAGGCAAAGTGAAACGATAACACCAGAACCTTAGAGAACAATGTTTTAAACCCAGTCAGAATTTATAACTGTGTTATATACTAGATAAATTCTGTCTGTTGCTCTAAAAAATAATCAGCCAATCTTAATTAAGTGAATGCCTCCAGATGCTAGGTAGAAGCACCAGATTTAGAGTTGCCCATGTGGGAAGCAGCCCATTCATAAATCAACGCCTAAATCCAGGGAGATTGCTCTGGCGTCGTGGCTGGTTTTTCTAACCACTATGTCTTCCTATATATAACTGTCTATTGAGCTCAGCAGCCGCAGGAATCTCTCATGGGGTTGACAGATCATCCCCAGGAGGGACAAGGATACACAGGATTTACCATATCTCAGAGTGTTTTTAGAAACATGCTTTGCTGGAAGGTACTTTTTGGTTTGTGATGTTTAAAAAATGTTTTATACTTCAGCTGGATGGTGAACCTTAGAATAATATTCTCCTCTCTTGGAAATTTCACAATGGGCTGCAACACAGTTAAGTTTTGTTTTTCTTTAACCCATCACCTCCCAGGTTTATTTATAATAAACTCATTCCATGTGTCTTATTGGTGTTTGTTAAATGCCTGCATAGGGAACCTGAGGCCTAGAGAGAGTCGGGGCCTAGAATAATGTCACAAAGAAAGTTGGTGCAGAATAAAGACCATAAATCAGATGTTCAAATGCCAAGCGTTCTTGCGTGTACGTGTCTTTATGTGTGCACTTATCTTTAGTATCAGCTTGTTGAATCATTACATGTGTAGACAGCTGGGTTGACTCCTTGCAGGACATTTGGTCCTGTGCAAAATGTGCACAAACGTCTGGTCCACAACGAAGGGTTATTGATATCTGGTCCTCTTCAAAACATCCAAGGGACATTTGGTCCATAAGGTATTTGGCCCATGCTCAAAGGTCCTTGACATTTTGTCCCCTCCAAAACATCCGTGAGCATATTCTATGCCAAATGCTTTTGGACAGGACCACATATCAAGGACTTTTTGATGTGTGAACCCAATGTCTCTATCGACATTTTGGACAAGATCAAATATGACCAAATATCAAGGACCTTTTGGCATGAATTCATGTCTTATGGACCAAATGTCTTTATGGACGCTTTGCACAGGACCAAATGTCTGCTAATTGGATAACTACCTTCCAGATTTAGAACATTTCCACTTCTCTAGAAAATTCCTTCATGTGCCTCCCCAGTCAACACCCACTCATGCAGGTGATCATTTCTCTGGATTCTCACTCTATAGATTAGTTTAGTTAGTTCTTGAACTTCATATAAATAGACCTATACCATATGATTGTCTGCTGTGTATCTATGAATATAGCTCTGTTTATTAATCCATTCTCCTGGTAGTAATCTTTATACTTTACTACACAAATATAATACCACTCACCTTTTAAAACCTTCAGTTGCTTCCCATTGTGAGTGGACTATGATATCCCAGAGAGAAGGGACAATTCTTTGCTCTTCCATTGTTATATCCTTAGCATTACCCCAGTGACTGGTTCATAGGAACTTAAAAATATATATTAGGTTTGGGGCTGGCCCCGTGGCCGAGTGGTTAAGTCTGTGCGCTCCGCTGCAGGCGGCCCAGTGTTTCGTTGGTTCGAATCCTGGGCACGGACATGGCACTGCTCATCAAACCACACTGAGGCAGCGTCCCACATGCTACAACTAGAAGGACCCACAACGAAGAATATACAACTATGTACTGGGGGGCTTTGGGGAGAAAAAGGAAAAAATAAAATCTTTAAAAATAAAATATATATATATATTAGGTTAATGAATGCGATAACTAATATATTAAAAGAATCCATTGATATTTATTGGCATTTTCTAGGAATTGGCTTTTTCTATGTTTATATGATCAAGAAGGATGAGAAATGACTGATTGAGTTTTGTTATCAAATTTTTCTCTTTAAGGTGCTCTATCTCATCAGAAATCCCAGAGATAGTCTTGTGTCTGGTTACTTTTTCTATAGTAATTCAAATTTTACTAAAAAACCGGAATCACTGGAACAATATTTTGAATGGTTCACCCAAGGAAATGGTGAGTGAATGTAGAATACGGAAGTGGGAGGATTGTCAGAGACCTTTATCAGACCTCATCTTACACCCAACCTGAGATCTCTACATCTCACCATCCCAGGGGTATAAGGCTTCATCACTATGGAAACACAAATTTTCAAATCTACCTTCTCTCCCGCAGAGCAGTGGAACCACAGCCAGCCTTTCAGCTTCCTGCATTGTAAAGCATCCTAGCTACGTTCTGAGTCTCCAGTGCCAGTCTAAACTAACACAGAGCACTGGCGTTCTTCTCTTCTCTTCTAATTTGTGGCTTTCTGAAAGTCAGCTTTTCCTTGGCTTCCAGGACAACACGACCCTGACTTTCCACTCCTTTTTAGATGTATCCTTACGAAACTCCCTTAATCCTCATGTGCTATCTGTCTCAGAAATGTATGCGTTACCTTAGGATCTCTATACTTTTTTTTTTTTTGTAGGGGAAGATTCGCCCTAAGCTAACATCTATTGCCAATCTTCCTTCTTTCCCTCCTCCCAAGGTGCCAGTACATAGTTGCGTACACTTTTAAGTTCTTCTGGTTCTTCTTTGTCAGCTAACACCACAACATGGCTACTGACAGATAAGCAGTATGGTTCCACACCTGGGATCTGAACCCGGGACCCCAAAGCAGGGTGCGCCAAAGTTCAACCACCAAGCCATCAGGGCTGGCTCAGATCACCATACTTTTAATTACACAGAATTTCCAGGCTTTCTCAGATATTGAAATTTTGCAATTTTTCTCAAAACTTTGTGATCAGTCCCATATCTCAGCTATGATTTGTCTCCCTAGCTTCAGATCGGATTCTCTAACAGCCCGTGGACGTCTACACTGGAAAGAGTCATAGACACCTCTACTTCAATATGTTTAAGGTTGAACACATTTCCCGCATATCCCAAACTGTTCCCACTGCGGGTTGATCTTATTCAATAAATAGGACCACCCCTCACCCAGGGTTAGCATGATTCTGACAAGTGTCATCTGTTTCCCATCCCACTCCCATGCCCCTCAGCCCTTCTCTTTATCTATTTATCATTCAATTCCCATGACCTAGATTAATATCTTCACTCTGCTCACAGCTAAAATGTCTCTGTACTTAGGGAAGTCTTCTTTTTCTGTACCATATAGAATACTATCCTTCTGCATCTTTATAGTCTTATCTTTTTTTAACCCTACTACTCATCATCAATGAGTATGTATTCTATTTATCTTTTTTATTGCATGTGTCTCCCAACTAAAATGTGAGCTCTTTGAGTGGTTCATTCTTGACCCAGGTCCCAGAGTGGTGCTTACCACATAGTAGCCACTAATACACCTTTGTTAAATAATGAATATTTGTTCGTCACTCCTTCCATTGGTGCTTTATTTCCCAAAGACAGTGTTAGTTCTCATCTAGATTCACACAACAGACTCATTACTGATGTCTTCACCTCATGCTCTCTGTCCCTTCTAGGCTATGTTGCAGTAGTCTGTTACATATTAAAGGGTTGCCTGAATTGTTTGCCCTCACCATAAAGTTCAATCTACAAAGCGCGGCAGTCACGTTTCTTACTGAGCTGATTCTGGCTGAACTCTTCAGTCCTCTGTCCTGCTTTCCTTCAGTTTACTCTTTCAGAAAGAAAAGGCAACAGTGAAAGCCTATTGTGGAAGCCCAGACATGAAGAACACACCCCCTCATCAATGCTTTATTAGATCTTGCCAACTGGTGCACAAAATAGTGTCACTAGGAATCCAGGAAAGTGCAATCAATAGTGGTGGGTGATGAAGACGTATCCTGTAAACCTCACCACTGTCCCAATATCTTGCTTATCTGTCCCTCAAAACTCACACACAGGCCTCTTTCTTATCTAGTTAAAGACCACCAACACCAAAATCTTTATTGTTATCAACTAATATCAAAATCCTGAGTTGTCCGCAGCCCTGTAGAAGGTCAATCCAAACTCTTTCCCCCATACCAATGAAGAAACCCTGGGAATTTAAGTCCTAGGGAATATTGTCTTCAGTTACAGGCAACAGGAGACCCCTGCTCTGGACCCTGGGTCTTAGAGCAGAGCTCTGGATCATACATGATAACAAAGCCTTGGGGGGTCCCCTGCTCTGGACACATTTCCTTCCCAGCGAGGTAGAATCTGTAGGATTCCTGGAGCTTGCAACCCTTTCATCACCCATCCTCTGGGAACCTTGAACCCTAGAATTTCTTATGCAAAAGACCCACACATGTTTTCATGGCCTGTGTAGTCATCTACTCTGGGTCCCACCTCCCAAGGCAGACCATATCTGCACCATGAGCAATGCTGGGTTAGGTGTAGCCAAGAGGAGAATCAAAATGAATCAGCAATAATTGTTGTTTGTAAGCATCACTGAAGCCATTAGGGTTTTGGTCAAATGCTTCTCTCAAAACTGTGTATATCCAAAGTTACAAATTAAATGAGGTGTTTCAAGTTTTAGGCTATTCAATATAATGGCTCTCTGGTGCACATGTGTGTGACCTTCTTTCTGGTTTATACACCTGAGAGTAGAACTTCTAAGGCATAGAAAATATGAACCTTAAACTTTAAAAGTTAATACCGAACTATTTTCCAGGGTGGTTGCATCAATTTATATTCCCACAAATAGCATATGAGAGTTCATGATACTCCATTTCCTCAGTAACACTCGTTACTGTCAGTATTTTTATGATTGTCTTTAGAGTAATTTTGCAGAATAGTGGAGAGTTGACATATTTTTCTTAGTTTATCTCCTCTTTTATAGACCTTGTTTATCCCTCCTTTTATCTAAAGCATTTTTAATGTCTTACATGATATTTTATGACTTTTTCTATGAAAGGCTTGCAACTCTTTTTCAGATGTATGTCATTCCTTCTAGAGTAACATCCTAAAATTACATTTTCCAGTAGTTTGTGCCTGATTTGGGGATGTAACTGATTTTGAATATTGATTGAATATTCACCAATCTGAATGAACTCTCCTCTTAATTCTCATTGTTTCCCTGTAGGTTCTCTTTGATTTTCAATGAAGTATAAATATAACCTTTAAATAATGATATTATCTTCATTTCTAATACACGCATGTTGTCTTTATTTTTTCTTCTCTTATCTCATTGGCCAGGGCTCTGGGACGATGTTGAATAGAAGAGATGATAGTGGCAATACTTGCTTGTTCTTAATTTTAAAGGTAATTATTCAAAAATGTTATGTTTTAACCTTATTGAGAAATAATCGACAAATTAATTGTATATATTTAAACTTGGTTATTTGACATACCTATACATTGTATAATGGTTACCAATAGCAAGATAATTAACACATCCTCTGCCTCGCATAGTTAGGTCTTTGTGTGTGTTGTGTGTGTGTGGTGAGACTTCTCAAGATCTACTCTCAGCAATTTTCAAGTACATAATACCAAATTATTAACCACAGTTACCATGCTGTATGTGGGATCCTCAAAACTTCTTCTTGTAACTGAAAATTTGTGCCCTTGAACCTATATCTCCCCACTGTTTCTCTGCACATCCCCGGGCAACCACCATTCTATTTTCTGTTTCTATGAAATCTTAATTTTTTTTGTATTCCTCTTTAAGTGATGCCATACAGTATTTGTCTTTGCTTACTTAGCATAATGCCCACCAGGTTCATCCATGTTGTTGCAAATAGCAAGAATCCTTTCTTTTTTATAGCTGAATAATATATATGGAATATATATATAAATATAAAATATAAATACATAGAAAATAATATTCCATTACATATGATACATATAAATACAAAATGTAAATATAAAATGTAAAATAAAACATAAAATATTAAAAACATATATATATCTATATATAGATATAGATATATACACATCACATTTTCGTCATCCATTCATCCATCGAAGGATATTTAGGTAGTTTCTATGTGTTAGCTATTGTAAAAAATGCTGAAATAATCCTTCAGGGAACATGAGTGTGCAGAGATCTCGTCAACATTCTGACTGTGATTCCTTAAGATATACATCCAGGATAAGGATTGCTGGATTATATGGTAGTTCTATTTTTAAATTTTTCAGGAACCACCATTCTGTTTTCCATAGTGGCTGTGTCAGATTACGTTGCCGCCACCACTGTATAAAGGTTTTCCTTCTCTCCACATCCTCACCAACGTTTGTTAACTCTCGTCTTTTTTATAATAGCCATCCTAACATGTGTGATGTGATATCTCATCGTGACTTTGATTTGTGTTTCCTTGATGATTAGCCCTGTTGAGCACCTCTTCATATACCTCCTGGCCATTTGTGTGCCTTTCTTTGGAAAAATATCTATTCAGGTCCTTTGCCCATTTTTTAATTGGATTATTTGCTTTTTTTGCTATTGATTTGTATGAGTTCTTTATATTTGGGATATTAACCCCTTATCATATATAGAGTTGGCAAATATATTTTCCCATTTTGTAGGTAGCTTTTTAGAATTATTGATTGTTTCCATTGCTGTGCAGAAGCTTTTTAATTTTATCCAGTCCCACATATTTATTTTAGCTGTTGTTGCCTGTGTTTTTGGTGTCTTATCCAAGAAATCATTTCCAATCAAATCAAGGAAATTTTGCCTATGTTTGCTTCTAGGATATTTATGGTTTCAGGACTTGCATTTAAGACTCTGGTCCATTTCAAGTTGATTTTGATGGGTGATGTAAGATACGGGTCCAGTTTAACTCTTCTCCATCTGGATGTCCAGTTTTCCCAACACCATTTATTGAAGAGGCTATTCTTTCCCCATTGTGTGTTCTCAGTGCCCTCATCAAAAAGTAGTTGACTGCATATGTGTGGATTTATATCTGGACTCTCTATTGTCTTCCACTGGTCTATGTGCCTGCTCTTTTTATGCCAGTACCATACTGTTTTGATTACTGTAGCTCTGTAATAAAGCTTGAAATCAGGGAATGTGAAGCCTCAGCTTTGTTCTTTCTCAAGATTGCTTTGTCTATTCTGGGTCTTTTGCAGTTTCGTACAAATTTTAGGATTTTTTTCCTACTTCTGTGAAGGATGCCATTGGAATTTTGATAAGGATTACATTGAATCTGTAGATTTCTTTGGATAGTATGGACATTTTTACAATATTAATACTTCCAACCTAAGAACACATAATATCTTCCCTTTTATTTGTGTCTTCTCAATCTCTTTCATCAATGACTTCTAGTTTTCAGTATGCAGGTCTTTCTCCTCCTTGTTTAAATTTATTCCTAAGTATTTTATGGTTTTTGATGATCTTTTAGATGAGATTGCTTTCTTAATTTCTCTTTTAAATAGTTCATTGTTAGTGTATAGAAATATAACTGTTTTTTGCATGTTGATTTTCTATCCTGGGACTTCATTAAATTCACTTGTTAGTTCTACCAGGTTTTTGATATAGTTTTTAGGGGTTTTTTTACATATAAGATCATGTCATCTGAAAATGAAGATAATTTTACTTCTTTCTTTCTGATTTATATATTTTTCTTGCCTAATTGCTGTGGCTAGACTTCTAGGACTATGTCGAATAGAAATAGTAAGAGTGGTCATCCCTGTCTTTTTCCTTATCTTAGAGGAAAGGCTTTTACCTTTTCACCATTGAGTACAGGGTTAACTGTGGGCTTGTCATGTATGACTTTTATTATGATGAAAAACATTCCCTATATACATAATTTGTTGTGTTTTTATGAATTTTGTCAAATGCTTTTTCTGCATCTTCTGAAATGATCATATGATTTTTATCCTTCATTCTGCAGTGTGGTGTATCACATTAATGATTTGCATATGTTGAACCATCCTTGCATGCCATGGTGTGTGATCATTTTAGTGTGCTCTTGAATTCAGATTACTAATATTTTGTTGAGGATTGTTGCATCTATATTCATCAGAAATATTGGTCTGTACTTTTCTTGTAGTGTCCTTATCTGGCTTTGGTATCAGAGTAATGCTGGCCTCATAAAATGAGTTTGGGAGTATTCCCTCCTCTTCAATTTTTTTGAAGTTTGAGGGAATTGGTATTAATTCTTCCTTAAATACTTGCTAGAATTTACCAGGAAACCATCTGGCCCTGGGCTTTTCTTGGTTTGGAGATTTTGGACCATTCATTCTATCTCATTACTTGTTATTAGACTATTCGCTTTCTATTTCTTCATAATTTAATCTTGTAGGTTGCATGTTTCTAGGAATTTACCCATTTCTTCTAGGTTATCCAATTTGTTAGCATATAACTGTTAATAGTAGTTTCTTATGATCCTTTGTATTTCTGTGGCATAAGTTATAATCTCTCCTCTTTCATCTTTTATTTATTTCAGTCTGCTCTGTTATTTTCTTACTCTAGCTAAAGATGTGTCAATTTTATTTATCTTTTTAAAAGGAAGCTCTTATTTTTGTCAATCTATTCTATTGTTTTCTGGTCTCTGTTTCATTCTCTTCCCTGCTCTGATCTTTGTTATTTCCTTCCTTCTGCTAACTTTGGGCTTAATTTCTTCTTCTCTTTCTAGTTCCTTAGATGTAAAGTTTGCTTGTTTATTTGAGATCCTTCTTTTTCAAAATGTAGTCATTTATAGCTATGAACATACCTAATAAAACTGCTTTTACTGCACCCCATAAGTTTTGATATGTTGTGATACTATTTTTGTTTGTTTCATGATATTTTTGTGTTTCTCTTTGGAATCCTTCTTTGACGCATTGGTTTTTCCTTTCTCCTGGATTCACTTTAGATATTCATAAAGAATGACTTAGATTAGCTCTGTCGTAACAAAAGTGGTAAGTTCTCTCATTGTTTGACCTGAAATTGTCTTTATTTTGTGCTCACGTTTCAATGATAGTTTAAGTAGAATTCTTAGTTGATAACTAATTTTCCACTATATTTGGAGTTAAGAAAGACTTGGGTATAGTAGACAGCCATTCAAAAGTATAATATAGTTAAGATATGGAGGATGGAGTGAGAAGACTTACCTTCCTAGGAGGTAACATTAAATATAGAGAAAGGCGGTTTTCAAGGAAACATACCTGAGAATTTCCTGCATTGATGAAATCTCAATTTGAAGAACCACCCCTAGCCTCACAAAGAATTATTACAAATAAATCTTCACCTAGTCTCTAGGAAAGCTGTGGTAGAAAGAAGGAAAGAAAACCTTAAACCAGAGCAAAGACAGATAATTTCCAAAGGAACAATAATTACAATAGCAACAAGGAAGGGAAGAAGAAGGAAAAATATCTTCAAGGTCCATGGGAAAGACCTACCAACTAAAAATCCTAAACACTCAACTGATTTTTGGCAGCAAGAATACTATTCTTCAAGCCACCTGGCTCTCTGGACACGATCACCTTAGAGACCCTTGAAAACTGGCACAGAGCCTGCTCCAAATGAACAAGGCTCCTTACAGGGTAAATGCATAATGTTGGATAATAGTTTTCCATCTTTACTCTCATTCATTCCCAACTAGTTAGGACAGGACCTAAATGTGCCAGATATTGTGCTGTTAACTGTGCCCAAAAGAGTGAACATAATAGATGTACCCTTGCTTTCATCAAGTTTGTAAATACCCCCTCTTTCTGCCTCCCCAATATGCAGTGCCATATGGATCCTGGTTCGACCACACTCGTGGCTGGATGTCCATGAGAGGGAAGGAGAACTTCCTGATACTGAGTTATGAAGAGCTGAAACGGGTAACTGTGGTCCTTATGGTTAGCACACACCTCTCACCACCATCTCCACTCCTCTAACTTCCCTCCCTTCCTCTGTGTCTCTATTCCACCTTCTCAGTCAAAGTTGAGCCTTGTGAAGGGTCATTAGGAGTGAGAAAAGCTCCCTGTCTTCATTTCCCTACTTCTGGTTGACACTGCCCAAGCTCCATGCTCTCTTTCTTCATGTTCTCTTCTTTGTTTCATCCTACAACATGTAAAGGTCGTTTTTCGTGAAGTGAGACACAGTAGAATGACTTATGCTCACCCTCGCAATGGTTCTAAAATTTCTAGGGGTAGGACACATGACACTGCTGATAATCTAGTGGGGAGAGGGGACTGAGGAAGAAGATGGGAGTGGGTAGAAACATGTCTGCTTCCATAAATGTGTCCAACTGCCTGACATCCCAGATTGACTGATAGAAGAAAGATAAAATCATGAAATCAGTCTGTGTAGTTTTTCTGACAGGCCAAGTACCAGACTGAAAAGTGATGGGCAGGAAAAGCCGTAAGACGATGCTCAAACCAGTATGAGTGATTAAACCATTGGAAGAAGAACTTTCCTTATTAGTGGTATCCTGGAGAAAAGAGCAAATAACACAAACACAAGCTTTTGCTTCTAAGAAGCATTACTTCCCATCATCTTCCTCTGTCTAATTCTCTATGGCCTCCATGTCAATTTCATTTTTTTTTTTTTACCAAGAAGCCTTTTGTAGCAAGTGTACCTACCTCAGGTACATGCTCCTACACCTTCTAGTAATTATGCTTTCAAGCTGCAATATGAACATTTATTGTAGTAATTTCTATAGTTGAGTGTTTTCTAGCCATAATGAGGGCTCATGGGATAAAGAAAAATTTTAAAACATTATAGCTCTAAGAGAAAGGTGTATGTTTCAAAGCAGTCTTTCTGATTATAAAATCAATTTTGTGCCAAGTACTAGTTATTGAGACAATATATAAGAAGATATTATGAAACTGTGTGTTATTCAAATGCTAATTATGGAAAGGAGTGTTAATGGAGGGCACATCCAGGATTTGAAATCAATCCCTTCAATCTTTGTCAAGTTATTCATGAAACTCTCCTTGCTTAATCCTGATCAGAACCGTCTAGAAGCCTGTCTAAAAGTGTCTTTAGAAAACCCAGCCCTGTATTTAGTGTTAGGGAGTCCTGAACTCAACTATACTGGGAAATCCATGTGGATCCTGCGCCTTTCTATCCTGCGTGCTCCTTCTTTTTTACCTTTTCCTTTTCTTCCTCCTAGGCACATCTAACCAATTGTTTCTAGCTTCTCACATGGTTCTCTCTTCCTCTTCCCTCTCCTTCTTCTCCTCACAGTGTTGTTTCTTCTTTCTCACCTACTTTTCTATTTCTTTCTGTTTCATATTTTCTCTCTTATTTTTTCTTCTTCTAGGACACAAGAAACACTGTAGAGAAAATCTGCCAATTCCTGGGCAAGAAATTAGAACCCGAAGAACTTAACTCACTCCTCAAGAATAGCTCCTTCCATGCCATGAAAGAAAACAAGATGTCTAACTTTACCCTCCTCCATGATTATTCTTTAGTTGAGAAGAATGCATCACTTATGAGAAAAGGTAAAAGAAAATGCCCTGTCTTCAAAACAGATCAGAATATGTGGAGGGAATTCTGGCGCTCACAGTAGGGCACTAACACTTGGGAGTAGTGAGTGTTTGAATTTTTCAACTCTAGTTGCTCGTCACCCAGAGAACTTCTCAGGTGGCCTTATCAAGGAGTCCCTTTTCATAGTGCTGATGTGGGCTGCAGGCGCTTGGAGGAAGTTGATTAGGTCTGCAGTGGTCATCTGACTTATGTGAGGTCATTCAGGTTCTCTCTCCTCAGAATTTGACATGGTGCATATCCATTCTACAAACACTGGCCAGGTTAGTTCACGACTCCTATCAACTTTCCAGCTGGGGTTGATCCAGAAAATGAGGAAAGCCTGGGGATGGTAATGTTGGTGCTCTCACACTGGTGATTTCGCAAAGAGAACTACCCTGAACAAAGAAATGTATAAAAATTGACTCAACTGAGGAAAGGAGAGTGGAGAGACTTTTCACTTAGCTGAGAGCCTGTCTTTCTATGAGACATTGTAATGAATCTATGATGAATAATTAATCATGTCTATATCCTTGGGCTCAAGATCAGCTAATTTGCTCACAGTTCCATAGTTCAAATATATTCAGGATGGTGATCCATAAAAGGAAGAAATTAAATAGTTGAAAAGACCTCAAACAATTGGCAGCTGCCTCCCAGGACAGAGGAAGAGAGAGCCACCACCCCAGTAGGCCAGGAGGTCAGAGGATCAGACCAAGATTCTCATTCCCGATCCTATAAATCTCACTGAAGTTGTCCTGCTAGGTTTTAGATTTGCTTGGGACCCAGGATCTCTTTCTTCTTTCTAAGTTGCCATTCCCTTTTGGAATGGGAAAGGCATAAACCTTTCCTACCATTGTATTTTGGAAGCAGATAACTTGTTTGTTTTCACAGGTCACAGCTGGAGAGGAATCTCACCTTAGGGTTAATCCTACCTCAAGGCTCATTTATGCGTGATTTACATGATATTTAAATGAAATTTTGGACTCAGAGTTGATGGTGGAAGGGGTTTAGACATCTGGGCAGCTGGGATGTGGCAAACGTATTTTGCATGCAAGAAGGACATGAATTGTGGGTGGGGAGGCCAGAAGGAGGAGTATAAGCTGAATTGCATCTCTCCAAAATTCATATGTTGAATTCCTCACCCCCAGTACCTCAGAATGTAACTGTATTTGGAGATAAGGTCTTAAAAAGTTAATTAATCAAAATTAGGGTGAATCCTAATCCATATGATGGGTGTACTTAAAAGAAGAGGAAATTTGGAAACAGAAATATGCACAAATCAAGAGAAGATCATGTGAAGTCAGCTATCTACATACCAAAAGGAGAAACCTCAAGAAGAAACCAATGCTGCTCTGACACCTGGATCCTGGACTTCAAGCCTACAGACCATGGGAAAGCAAATTTCTGTTGTTATAAAAAAATGACCTCCAGCAATCCTAGCTTTTGACACTTTACTAAAACAGAAGTAGAGGGAATACCTAGCATAGAGAGATTGTCCATTCTTAGATTTCATTTTATGCATCAGGGTTTGGCAGGGTTTAAAATGTTATATTTATGTACAATGCTTGTGTGAAACGGCTAAAAGGACAAAGGATAATTGCTTAAAAGAGAAAGGCAACGGAGGTGAATGACCCAGAATTTTTGGCAAGGACAAAATAGAATGGATGCAATCGAATTTGGTGCATAATTCAATGAATACACCCACTGTTTCTTCTTGTCTAGGATGACTCCTTCAGGAGGCAACCACATTGGATTTCAACCTTTTCCAATTTTTCATGGGAGGTTGAGGGTAGATATAGTAAGGATGATAACAATTGACAATCGTCGTGTGATTATTATTGCTAACCTGGTGATCTGACTACACATGTAATTCGTAACTGAATCATCACAATAATCCCATAGGGTATTATTTTCCTCAGAAAATTGTGATAACTGATGCAGCCAGTAAGACACAAGTCCCTTTGAAAACCGGATCTCTGATGCTAGAGACTAAACTTACAACCACCATGCTTTACAACTTCACTATTCTAGCACAGAGTAGACTAAGAATAGATAGGTGGGTGACAAAGAAAGCAAGAGAGAAAGAAAGGAATAATGAAAAGGATTAATCTCCTGTGTCTCTATCTCAGGTCTGACTTGTGTCCTTTCTTTCATCTGGGAGGCACATACAGGTCCAAGATTAATTTTAAAATTAATTATATCAATTACAATTAGATAGCTATATAGATCATGATTCACTGAAAAGCTGTATCAAATGTAGGTCAAGGACTGTTCTGTTCAGTTACTTTCAGGATAATTGGGGCTCTTTTCCACTCAGGACACAAGAAAAATACTTTTGATTGTCCCTCGGGGTCTACATATACCGACTGCATTTAGGAGAACCTTGGCTGTTGAAGTCTCCATTACTGATGACCTATCTGATTTTCAGATCAAAGCAATAGTTTTCTTTAACTGATTGTTGTTGTTATTGTCCTTGATGATTTTTATTTCAGAAAATAGCTTCTGGTGTGGAGTAGACACTCTGCAACTTTTGTTGATTAAACAGAAGGAAGAATGAATAAAAACATAATATATTAATTTTTTAAAGAAATTTGGGGCCAGCCCGGTGGCACAGCGGTTAAGTGCACACGTTCTGCTTCGGTGGCCCGGGGTTCACCAGTTTAGATCCCGGGTTGGGACGTGGCACTGATTGGCAAGCCATGCTGTGGCAGGCATCCCACATAGAAAGTAGAGGAAGATGGGCACAGATGTTAGCTCAGGGCCAGTCTTCCTCAGCAGAAAAGAGGAGGATTGGCAGCAGATGTTAGCTCAGGGCTAATCTTCCTCAAAAAAGAAAAGAAGAAAGAAATTTGGTTTAAACCATAACAATCAACAAGCTGTTTGATCATTTAATTTTTATGACAAACTATAAATGACTATATTACAATATAATACAAATATATTTTATTTAAACTACATATGAAGCTGATAAAGTATAAAAATCAACAAAGTGTTTGCCCACCCGATTATGCTATATCTAAATATATTACACACCAGACTATCAAAATTGTTGTAGTATAGCTGTTAACACTAGATCAGTAAATATCAGTAAATATCTAAGTATGACCTGAAGTTCTAATCAACTTTATTTAAAACTTTGCATCATTCAGCCATTATTATTAGTATTGACAGAATTTAGTGCTTGACAGAATGTTTTAAAGGTGTCTTCATAACCAAGATGGTATGGGCCCATAAAAATCCACATATTGAAGCCCTAATATCCAGTACCTTGGAACGTAGCTGTATTTGGAGAACGGGTCTTTACAGAGGTAATTAGGTTAAAATGAGGTCATTAGAGTGGGCCATAATCCAATAATAATGATGTTCTTAAAGGAAGAGGAAATTTGGACATGTACAGAGCAAAGATGATGTGAGGACATAGGAGGACACCCATTTATAAGCCAAGGAGGGAAGCCTGGAACAGCTCTCTCCTTCGCAGCCTCAGAAGGAAGCAACTCTGTCAACACCTTGATCTGTGACTTTTGGCCTCCAGAACCATGACAAAATGCATTTCTGTTGTCAAGCTGTCCAGTGTGTGGTACCTGGTTACAGCAGCCCCAGAAAACTAACACACAAGACTTTGGGGAGACTTTTAAGCGACAAAAACTAGGCAGAGACATAAATAGAAAATTACAGCAGAAGGATTGGTAGTATTTTGAAAATGGGTAGGATTTAGATCTTGAGGCCCCTGCATAGAAACGTTGGATTCTCTCACGTGGACTGGTGTCTAATAGGAGGCCGCCATATTGAATTTACAGAGACTCTCATGCTTCAACAGCTCTTTCTGGCTTCCCAAATATCATGTGTGTTACAGGAGTCTATCAAATCAACAACGAGGAAAATTGTTCTAATAATGAAGAAAATGAGGAGCATGCTAGTAAGAGTGGATGTTTTTAGGGCACCAGTTATTTTGTAAGACAGCCTGTTATATTACTTCTATGCATGTAATTTAAGAGTATAATTTATATATCCTCTTATATATAAATTCCTATATACTCTCTCTATATAATATATATTTCTATATATTAATGTGTATAAAATTATAATTATTCTGCTATATATTCATTTTACTAATGCATTAATTTAGTTATATTAATATAATACATAAGTATTAATTTATATGATAAAGAAATAATTATATAATTGTATCATTAAGGGTATGGCTTCTAGTGATAAAATCTTTGGCTTAAAATCCACATCCATCACTTTCTGACTATCTATCCTCTCCAAATCCTGTTTTTTCTCATCTGTAAAATGGAGATGATAATAGTATATTCTTCATTCTTTTAGTCATCCTTTCAACAAATATTTGAGTATGTAGTGTCTATGACTCTTTGAAACACTAAATCATTGGCTATTTAAAAAGAAAAGCATGTGACTTTGTAGAAGTTATATATATTGGAGATACGTATGATACACACATACAAAAGAAATACACACAGCATACCATATGTGATAAGTGTATGAAGTAAAATACAGCAAGGGTGAGACTTACAGTTTTAAACAGGGTAGTGGGAGACAATCTCACTGAGAAGATGCAGTGGAGCTAAGACGTCAAAGAAGGAAACCAGGAAAACGTGGATGTATCTGAGAGGACAGCCTTCCAGGAAGAAGGAGCAGGGAATGCACATAGACTGATGAGGGGAATGTATGAGGCAGACTAAGGAGACTCGGTGTGAGGGGGTAGAGCGAGCAAGTGGATGGCCATAGGAGTGGAGTCACACGACAGGGACCAAACCACCTGAAGCCATAAGCCCTTTCACTGAGTAAAACCAGAAGTCCTTGGAGAATCTGAGCTACAAGGGACATGATCTGGCTTAACTTCTCAAGGAGTCAAGCTGGCTGCCACACTGAGAATAACTTATAATGGAGAAGGATAAAAAACAGAGAGACTGGTCAGAAGTCTACTACAATAATCCAGGTGAAAGATGCTGTTGGCTTGGGCCAAGGTGGTAGAAATAGAGGTGGTGAGAAGTGGCCAGATTCTGGAGGTATCAGAGGATATGACTACAGTTTTGCTGGTGAATTGTATACAGAATCTGTTGGGAGAGAGGAGAATATAGGAAATTGTTTCCAAGCAGTTGGAAGTGTAAATGGGTATGATCTCCAGGCAATATAAAGGCCCACCAATGAGCCATTGGTCATTCTGTTCTATTAGCTACAATTTCCATGTCAAGTAGACAGAAGGGATAGATCCAGGAGGAAATATGTTGGTGTCTTGAGTCCTACCCCTAGATCTGATCTGAGTCTCTATTTCATGTTTGTCAGGCATTACTGGAGACTGGAAAAACCACTTCACAGTGGCCCAGGCTGAAGCCTTTGATAAGATATTCCAGGAGAAGATGGCAGATCTTCCTCGAGAACTGTTCCCATGGGAATAATGTTCAAAACCTTCTGGATCTTATATGAATCTTGATATTTGTTTTCCTGTCCTTGTACCTGTGCATGACTGGAGGTAATTGTGTAAAACCTGTATTTCACCCAGGAGCCTCGAATTATCCAATCTTTGTATCTTTGAGGACTTGATTGTGAAAAATTACCATGGGACCCCTAATTCACTTTGGTGCACTGCAGCGTTTTGAAAATGTTTGTAATGTTTCACACATAATGATACAGAAATAATATAATTTTTACCCGAAATTGTCAGAATTTTTTAATAAAAATGAGAAATAAAATTAACAAGCAGTTAAGCCTCATTTTCTTTCCGTTGTCTATATCTCACAATTTATTATTACTCTGACCTTCAGGTATATAATTCCCAACATAATATTTTTCTCTTACTATATGGTGTTTTACTATAAATGATATATGGTATTTTTGGAGGCATTTAAAACTTAGATAAATGACACACTGCATAATGCATTCATTGACTTACATTTCCACTCAGCATTTTGTATTTGGGTTTCATCCATCTTGATTATATAGCTAGTCCAGTATTTAGTATTGAGAGTTATAACTTAGTTATCAGTTCTCCTGTGAGTGATTGTGAGTTTCTTCCCGACCAGTTTTTCCCTATTTAAATCGCTGAGTTGGCCCAACATACGATCTTTCCTGGAGAATTTCTATGCACACTTGAGAAAAATGTGTATTCTGCTGCTTTTGGATGGAATATTCTGTAGGGGGATGGAATATTCTGTAAATATCTGTTAAGTCCATCTGGTCTAGTATGTAGTGTAAGGTCAACATTTGCTTGTTATTTTTCTGTCTGTTTGATCAATCAGTTATTGAAAGTAGGCTATTGAGGTCCCCTATTATTATTGTATTGCTGTCTATTTCTCCCTTCACGTCTGTTAATATTTGCTTTATATATTTATGTGATCCTATGTTGGATGCATAAATATTTACAAATGTTATATTGGATTGACTCAATCATTATATAATGTCCTTCTTTTGTCTCTCACGACAATGTGTCTTAAAGTCTATTTCGTTTGATATAATTAAAGCTCCTCCTGCTTTGATTTCCATTTATTTTGAAGCAGGTCTTAATAAATTTAAGGAGATTTAAATCACATCAAGTATCTTTTCCAATCACAGTGACATGAAACTAGAAATCAATTAAGTGAGGAAAACTAGAAAATTTACAAACATGTGGAGATTAAACAACATGCTACTCAACAACCAGTGGGTCAAAGAAGAAATTGAAAGATAAATAAAATAATATCTAGAGACAAGTTAAAATGGAAATCCAACATATCAAAACTTAAAGGGATGAAGCAAAAGCAGTTCTAAGAAGAAGTTTATAGCTATAAATGCCCACATGGGGATACAGGAAAGATCTCAACTAACCTGGATCTACAACTCAAGGAACTAGAAAGAGAAGAACAAACTGAGCCAGAAGTTAATAGAAGGAAAGAAATAACAAAGATCAGAGCGGATAAATGAAATAGAGACTGAAAAGACGATACAAAAGATCAATGAAACTGACAGCTAGTTTTTTGAAATATAAACACAATAGACAAAACTTTAGTTAGACTCACCAAGAAAAAAAACAGAGGAATCAAATCAATAAAATTACAAATGAAAGAAGATACATTACAACTGATACCAAAGAAACACAAAGGATCAAAGAGACTACTATGAGCGTGAAATACCACCAGGACAACCTAGAAGAAATGGGAAATTCCTAGAAACATAGAACCTAACCAAGAATGAATGATGAAGAAATAGATAATTTGAACAGACTAACTACTAGTAAGGATATTAAATCAGTAATCAAAATCCCCCAACAAACAAAAGTCCAGAAACAGACAGCTTCACTGGTAAGATCTACCAAACTTTCAAAAAATAATATGAATCCTACCCAAACCCTTCTAAAAAAATTGAAGAGTAGCCAACACTCCCAAGCTCATTTGATGAAGCCAGCATTATGCTGATACCAAAATCAGACAAAGACTCTTCAAGAAAAGAAAATGATAGGCCAATATCCCTGATGAACATAGATGCAAAAATCCTCAAAAAAATATTAACAAACCAAGTTCAACAGTGCATTACAAAGATCATACACCATGATCAAGTGTGACTTATTCCAGGAATACAAGGATGGTTCAACATCCACAAATTAATCAATGTGATACATCACATTAACAAAATGAAGGATAAAAATCACATGATCGTCAATAGATGCAGAGAAGGCATTTCACAAAATTCAACATTGATTCGTGATAAAAATTCTCTGCAAACTAGATATAGATTGAACATAGTTCAATACCATAAAAGCCATATATGACAAGCTCACAGCCAACATCACATTATTCAACAGTGAAAAGCTGAAATCATTTCCTCTAAGATCAGGAACAAGGCAAGGATTCCCACTCTCACCACTTTTATTCAACATCGTAGTAAAAGTCCTAGTGGCAGCAATCACACAAGAAAAAGAAATAAAAGGCATCCAAACTGGAAAGGAAGAAGTAAAACTGTCTCTATTAGCAGATGACATGATATTATATGTAGAAAACCCTAAAGAGTCCACAAAAAACTTTAGAACAAATCAACAAATTCAGTAAAGTTGCAGGATACAAGATCAATATACAAAATCAGTGGCATTTCTATACACTAACAACGAACTGTCAGAGAAATTCAGAAAACAATCCCATTTACATTTGCACAAAAGAGTAAATACCTAGGAAGAAAGAAGGTGAAAGATCTGTACGCTGCAAGCTATAAAACCTTGATGAAAGGACTTGAAGAAGACAGAAATAAATGGAAAGTTATTCCATGCTCATGGATTGGAAGAATTAATACTGTTAAAATGTCCACACTAACCAAAGCCATCCACAGATTCAATGCAATCCCTATCAAAATTTGAACAGCATTTTTCACAGAAATAGGAAAAACAATTCTAAAATTGGTATGGAATGTCAAAAGACCCTGAATAGCCAAAGCAATCTTGAGAAAGAAGAACAAAGCTAAGGTTATCACACTATGTGATTTCAAACTATATTACAAAGCCAAAGTAATCACAACAGTATGGTACTGGCATAAAAAAAAAGACACATAGATCAATGGAACAAAATAGAGACTCCAGAAATAAACCCACACATACATGGTTAATTAATTTATGACAAAGTAGCTGAGACTATACAATAAGGAAGAACAGTCTCTTCAACAAATGATGTTGGGAAAACTAGACAGCCACGTGCAACAGAATGAAACTGGACCCCTATCTTACACCACACACAAAATTTAATTCAAAACGGACTAAAAACTTGACTGTAAGACCTGAAACCATAAAAATCCTAGAAGAGAACATAGAGGAAAAGATCTTTGATATTGGTTTTGGGAAGGATTGCCTGGATTTGACACCAAAAGCAAAGGCAATGAAAGCAACAATATACAAGTGAGATTATTTCAAACTAAAATCTTATGCACAGCAAACGAGACCATCAAAAAATGAAAAGGCAACCAATAGAATGGGAGAAAATATTCGAAAATCATATACGTGATAAGGGGTTAATATTCAAAATACATAAAGAACTCATACAACTCAAGAACAAAAAAGACAAACAATCTGATTAAAAAATGGGTAGAGGATCTGGATAGACATTTTTGCAAAGAAGATATAGAAATATCCAACAGGTACATCCAAAGTTACTCAACATTACTAATCATCAGGGAAATGCAAATCAGAACCACAAGAAACTATCACCTCAAACCTGTTAGGGTACTTATTACCAAAAAAACCCTTAAAATACAACAAATGTTTGTGAGGATGTGGAAAAATTAGGACCTTTGTACACTGTTGGTGGGAATGTAAATTGGTGCAGCAATTACAGAAAACAGTTTGGAGGTTACCCCCAAATTAAAAATACTATATGATATATAGTTTAGATAGATAGATAGATAGATATAGATATAGATAGATAGATAGATATACTGTTATATGATACTATATGACCCAGCAATCCCATTCCTAGATATATATCCAAAAGAGTCAAATCATAATCTCAAAGAGATGTCCGCACTCCCACATTCAATGTGGCATTATTCTCAATAGCCAAGACATGGAGACAACCTAAATGTCCATTGAGAAATGAGTGGATAGAGAAATTGTGGTCTATGCATAGAATGGAATATTACTGAGCCTTACAGAAGAAGGAAAGTCTGCCATTTGCAACCACGTGAAGGAACCTACAGGACTATATGCTAAGTGAAATAGGCCAGAGAAGGACAAATACTGCATGATTCCACTTATATGAGGTATCTAAAGTAGTCATAAGCATAGAAAGAGAGAGTAGAATGGTAGTTGCCAGGTATCAGGGGGAGAGAGACATGACGAGTTGCCATTTAATGGCTATAAAGTTTTAGTTATACAAGATGACTAAGTTCTAGAGATTTGCTGTACAATATTGTGCCTATTATAGTTAACAATTCTATATTGTGCATTTAAAATTTTGTAGCCGGTAGATCTCACATTAAGCGTTCATACCACAGTAGAAAATTAATTAATTAACTAGTTAAGAATAAGTAGATATTTTCCCCTTTTAAAAAAGAATGAAAAAGAAAAACGTAAAATCAGTGATTAAAACTTCTACCTCAAAAAGGTTAAAAAAAGAGGGGCAAAGGGGCTGGCCCCGTGGCCGAGTGGTTAAGTTCGCGCGCTCCGCTGCAGGCGGCCCAGTGTTTCGTTGGTTCGAATCCTGGGCGCGGACATGGCACAGCTCATCAGACCACGCTGAGGCAGCGTCCCACATGCCACAACTAGAAGGACCCACAACAAAGAATATACAACTATGTACCGGGGGGCTTTGGGGAGAAAAAGGGGAAAAAATAAAATCTTAAAAAAAAAAAAGAGGGGCAAAATGAACACAATGCAAGAAGGAAAGAAATAATAAAGATAAGAGCAAAAAATCAATAAAATTGAAAACTATAGAGAAACCAATGAAACAAAAGCTAGTACTTTGAAAACTAATCAACTTGATAAAACTCTATCAAGACTTATTGAGAGAAAGAGAGAAGACAGTTATCAATTAGGAATGTAAGAGGAGATATGACAAGACCCCACAGATATTTAAAAGATAATAATGGAGTGCTATGAACAAGTATGTACATAAACTCAACAATTTATATTAAATGGACCAATTCCTCAAAAAACACAAACTACCAAAAGTCACCCAAGATGAAACAGATAACCTAAATGGTCCTGTAATTAACAAAGACA